CACACACACACACACAGTGAGTTATAAGTAAGTCAGCTTAAATGTAAATATAAAACAATTACAATTAAACTCAGTTCATTTAAATAGTCTATGTTGTGTCTAACACGCTTTATATTGACATTCCCTCGATACAAATGAAAACGTACTGTAGGTCTTAAGACAGGTAAAGACCATGTGACCTCCTACGGGATTATTCTTAGCCCAGACACACACCTACACACACTCGTCAGGAGCTCACAATGATGGCAAATTATGCACACACACACCTGGTAAAATTCTACCGAGTAGTGCATCCATCAGCCAGAAGGATTTTTCTTCATCTTTTGTGATGATGAGTAGATACCCAGCAATGAAGTTCATTCCCTGAAAACAAAAGAGAGACACATTTAAGGTTTACACATTAATCTTGCAATCCTGTGTGAGTAGGTTTTCCAGCTCTTTAATCAAAGCATCCGGGAGCGAGACCGCTAATTGCGCATGAGACATTAACAAAAAGGAAACAAAGGAAGAAGAAAAAAAACATTTGAATGGAAACAGGCTACTTGAGGGTTGTAGTTGTACTTCAGAGGAGAGAGAGTAACCATCAACACAGCACTGCTGCCTGTTTGAATTGCAAATCAAGCTGCGTGTGCTCTGGTGAATGAAATCTGCCTTTCAAATGTTAATGATTAATATAGAGCTATACTGCGCTCGTTTAATAAAACACTACACAAAATAATGACCAAACTGATTTTGGATATCGGCTTCCACACACAAACATTTACACTGTCTATGTTATGTTGGCTAATAAACACTGCACTGTAAATGTAGGTCAGTTTTGTATATTTCTGTCCCATCACTCACATTAATAATGGAAATAATCCTTTACTGCAAGTTACACAGCACCATAAACAATAATGAAACAATACCAAATTATACATAATATTACAGATACCTGATTATTTGCCGATACCCAATATTCTGACACTGTTCTTAAAAGTCTTCGTAAACTGTAATGTTCTGGATCCTCAGTGATAGTACCTGGCAGTAGCCCACAGTTTGGTTGTGGTGACCATAAGCCAGCAGCACGTTGTACAGGGCTTTCTGCAGACATGGGTTGGACGTCTTGCGGAACTGGACGTTGTCTGGAAATGTTCTGTTCAAGTCTGAAAGAGACGGATAACAGGGACGCTCATAGTTAGTGCTGTTTATGTGTTTATGGGTGTTACTGTTGCTCTGATGCTCAACTGCTCAACTAACGACAGGTTACGTAATGTCACACTGCCATAAAGTTTTATCAGGTGTGGTATCAGAGTAGTTTTATTATTACCATTATGAGTACAAGCTCAGAGTTTATTAGAGTGTAAACATTCCTTGTTATCATGCACACAATAATAAGCTATTAAAATAATGACAGATCTGTATATTCATGTTTTTATTTGAACATACATGTGGAATTTATCTTTGCTGAAATATGTTTTAGTCATTTAACATTTTTGATAACTACTAAACTAAAATCAAACTCTGAGGACTCCCTGGGCTTCGTGGGCCCCTGTAATATATATATATATATATATATATATATATATACACACACATATACATATACACA